CCGGGGCAGCGCCGCGGGATCGCCTCCATCCCCGCCGTCCGCTGCCGCCGCTCTGCCTCTCGCAGGGCAGCGGCGGCGCCGGGGCCGGGCAGCGCATCGCGGGGCTGGGGCAGCTGTCGCCGCCGCCGCTCAGCCCCCACCCCCGGCCCCGGCGGCGGGGAGGTGCCGGTGCCGCCGCCCCTCCCGGCCATGCCGGCCTGTCCCCCCCACGCCGCCTCCCGGTCCTGGTGCCGCCTCGCCCCGCCCGCGCTCGGCCGCGGCCGCAACGCCCGCGGGGAGAGCGGAGCTCGGGCTCACGGCGGGGCTCCGCCGCCTCACCACCTCCCCCGTGCGGCTGCTCCGCCGCGGCTGCTCCGCCACGGCAGCAGGCCGGCTGCAGGGCAGTGACAGCGGCCCTGGCTCCCCGGGCTGCTCGGGTGCTCATCGGTCAGCTCGGCGCTGCAGAGGGGATTTGTGTCTCCGCAGTCGGGAGGGGTCCCCCTGGGCAGAGCCGGGACCCCAGCACGCATAGGAAGGGTCGTGGGGACGCTCACAGGGGGCTCAGGGCATCCGCACCTTGGGACCTGTGCTGGATTGACCGTGGCTGGATGCCGGGTACTTATCACAGGCACTGTGTCACTGCACTCGTCAGCTGGACTGGGGAGAGAAAATATAACTAAAGGCTCGTGGGACGAGGTATGGACAGGGAGAGATCACTCACCGGTTAGTGTCATGGGCAAAACAGACCCAACATGGAGAAATTAATTTATTGCCAGTCAAAAATCAGAGTAGGATACTGAGATTAAACAAAACTGAAAAACACCTTCCTCCACACCTCTCCCTTCTTCCTAGGCTCAACTTCACTCACGATTTCTCTACCTCCTCCCCGACAGCAGCACAGGGAGATGGGGAACAGGTGCTGCAGTCAGTTCATTACATGTTTTATCTGCTGCTTCTTCCTCCTCAGGGGAAGGACTCCTCACACTCTTACCCTGTTCCAGTGTGAGTCTCCACAGCTGATATTCAGCTTGATGTTCATGTAGGCCCTGGGTCATTTCCAGCATGATTCTTTATCAGCCAGCCAGTTCCCTGCCTGTACAGTGATGGGAGTGTTCTGCTCCACATGCAGAACTTGTTCTTTCTACTTGCCAAACTTCTCAAGGTTTCTGTTGGCTCACTCCAAGTTTATTAAGGCCTCTGTGAATTGAAGTGTTACAAACTAAGACATCAAACCTGATTTCCAACCTAGTAATTTCTGCAAAATAGTGAGATGGCTAATATTACCTGAAAGTCTCTTCAGGCCATAAACATAGCATCTGTCTTGACAAATAACACTGATTTTAGTCACAAAATGGGAATATGGGAAAGTTACTTTACCACAGTAGAAAACTGCAAAAAAAATACAAAAAATACAATGCTAAGGGAGAGTAAAATCCTCTGAGGCCTTGAGCTGTACCTAGATTCAATCCAGAGCACATCCAATACAATGAACATTACCTAAAAGGAACACAATCCCTAGTCAACCTTAATTAAAGATTCAAAGTGGTCCAAAAACTCTTCTGTTAGTAATTTTGTGTATTTAGACATTTTTGCAGACTATATGAGAAATTTGGGGCTCGTGAAAGTGAGCAGGAGATCTCAATTGACTTCTGTGGAGTTCTGATTCACTCAATAAATTTGATCATATCAGCTGCAATGACAGTTCTTATTTTCCTTCAGGAACTTTCAACACTGATATGTGACTTTGGAGGAATCTTTGTCTAGTCATGTTTTCATTTCTATTCCTTGAAGATTTGCTGCTAAGCCATTCCAAACCCAAAGCCTAACCAGTTATATTGATGATGCAAAGCCTCATCCTGCATATGGTAAGTCAACAAAAATGTTGGCATTAATTTAGCATTTAGGAAATGTTTCAGGACAACTCAATATGGAAATCTTTATAGGCCAAGTAGTGACAAATTTGAAAGAAAAAAAAAACGTTTGCTTTGTGAGGATTCATAGCAAGAGTTGCCTAGATACTTTTGGTTTTTTGCAGTCTCACAATGAAACTTCAGTGTGATGTTCAGCTGCACTGCAGTGGCATCCATATTAAGGCTATTGTCATACAGATACAAATCTGCTGAATTATTTAGCCTGAGATCAAAACAAGGCTTTCTATATTCCTCAACACAAAATCAGCTAAAGCTCTATAGTGCTTATGAAAGAAAGCCAAAAGCTCTTACTGAAATCCACACTTAGTTGAGATTGTATATACAGCATGAACATCCATTATTAAAATAATTCCTATTTGTTTTATTATGATAAATAAGAATTATATCAATTCAAGATGAGAAGACAGTAGCCTAAAATATTTCTATGGGTAATATTGTCACCTTAAGTTAATTTTCATGTTACACCTGCCTCTGTGAAAATTAAATATGTGTTTACATTTATATTTACATGTGGTACATAATTCACTAGTTCAAAAATCTTTATAGAATTTATATGTAGAGTATGATAAAACCTATATTTAAGGCATATTTTGGAATTTTTACAAATTACAGATCTTACTGTTTTGTTGCTGCTGTCTTCAAACCCCTCACAATATGGGAAACAGAAGAAATATGTTTCAATTAGATATTCATCACAGTCACTACTGATAGATGTGCCTTCATCTACAAGTCTAGCAGCCACCTAGAAATTTTGGTGTGCTAAGCTTAAAAGCCAGATGCAATGTGTTGCTGTAAAGTGACCTCACTGTCAGGACCAAGGTTAGAAGTTAGGTGTCCCCAGATATGAGTGTAGGTGTGGAGTTTCTGTTGATTTTTTAATGTCTCATTTCTCTTCTAGAGAATAAACACCAGCCTGGCAGTAACACACATCAGCTCCAGTTTGCCTCTTTTCTGCCATAATACACACACATCTGTGGCACAATCACATCAGTTACTCTGTGCTGGTAGGGTTTTTTCAAGCAGGTTTTTTTTCGGTCTGACTCAGGAAAAACTCCGCAGACATCACTGAGAAGTACAACATGACGAAGGTTGAGTAGCATTGCCAGAAGCTTGAAGACCTCCCCCAGGGAACACATCTGGTTTTGTCTGCTTTGGAGATAAACCAGTCCAGGAGATAGCCCCATGTACTGAGGACCACACAGACTCCCTGGCACTGTATACACAACTTGAAGAACTGTGCTTTAACTGCTCTGTGGAAACCACAGTAAGTTCTCATGTTGCTGATAGTCAGGAATTAAAAATAAAATGCTGTCTGTTAGTAATGAAGCTGTTGCAAAATAAAAAAAATATTTTGCTTAATGAAGGTTAAATATTTGCCGTTTCTAACAGCAGTAAATATTTTCACCCCGAGCTTCCTAACTGGCTTCCTCTTCTACTCTGACTCACTCTGTTTTGTCACACTTCAGAAATATTTAAGCCTAGAAAAGTCTTTGAAGTTATTTGTCAACTGTCTTACAAATCCCTTTTAAACAAAAGGGACTGCAACACATGGTTGTGTTTTCAGCTACAGCTATCAATCCAGACATTCTCTCAACCAGGGAAACCTTGTGGAGTTTTCATCTTAAGAAAATATGATCAGCTTCAAAGAGTAGCAGGATGCTATCTGGTACCAAAATGACACTAAGAATGACTTTGAAGTCTCTTCTTCATAAATAGTCCCCATGGTTTCAATGCAAGTTTTTGCCAAGTAAGAATCTAAATCCTGTATGAAAGAGAGTGATATAAGTTCTGTTCTGTATAAATTGCACCCTGTATTTCAGCATAAAGTTTAAATGCCTGTAATTTGATTACCTAGTGTTTCATGTTCAGGAATATGATCTTTCTGCTTGGAAAGATAAAATTCTGAAATACGAACAGAGATAAAAAAGTGGGTTGAAAGCTGATGCCTGTCTTGTTTGAATGAACAGATTCTGGTCAGACAAACTCACATTACTGCACATGCAGCAAATGTAGTGTTAAATATTCTGCCTCACTACAGTTCCACTTGTGGCTGTGAGCAGGGTTGGATTAAAACTATGTGAAGTTGACATTTCCAGATCAAGGCACAGGCATGAACAAATGTGCTGTGCACACTGTGAATGGAGGATCTTGTCCAGAACACTCTCCAATCTTCCATTGAAGCACACGGCTTTGTGGTTCACCAGTGTAGACGAGAGCCAAAAGCAGAACAGAAAATTTTCCTACCAAACCCACATGATCTTCAGACACTTTCATACACATGTGGGTACCAGCAAGCCAGAATCTGTCGCTATGGATATGTGTTAGTAGATATCATTAATTTCAATCTTCCTTGGTATTTCTGAGCACTGGACTGCATCTTACTCATCTTACAGTGATGTGCAACCAGCACTGATGCTCTCATTTTACCCAGTGAGCATCCCCCAAACCAGAGAGCAAGATTTGTTGTAAAGCTTCTCTTCAAACGTCTTTGAACCTCAAGCATTGAGGTCATGTTTCAGTCCAGGAGACAAAAACTAGCCCTAATTTGAAGTAAATCTCCTAAACCACATATAATCTAGTTATGGTTCTCTCAATACCAATTGCTTTAATAACTTGACCTCCTCCTATTGTGCTTCATTACTTAATAATGTAGATGTAGCCTTTGAAAAATGTAAATGTTTAAATACTGGTATTAATACATGCAATGATATTGTGATATAGGCAATGATTACAATTGTCTTTCAAAACATTAGTGTTTAGTTTGGCAATGAAATAATAAAATTAACAAATAGAAAAGGTGAGCTGAACAGTTAGTTCAGTAAAAAGTCACTATGATAAAATGTGAGCACAGTTAATTTAAATTAACCAACACCCTGTTTAATGAAGTATTATAAATATCATAGTAATATTAATAACATTACTGTAATATTATGCAATGTTATATTTAAACAAATTGCTTTGTTTTATTCAACTAAAAGATGAGACACATAAAAAGGTCACAAATATGAATATATCAGACTAGGTAAGAATTACCTAAGTCTCATAATTGAAGTAATATATTCAGTAGAAAAGACCTAACAGGCACTTCTCTGTTGTACAAGGTTGCATAAAAATGGGAAGAGAGAAAAGGAGTAAATGGGATTCACAAATCTGCTTTTGTTGCAGCAAAACTGAGCTAGTGCAGGAACCCAACATAGAACCAGAAAGTCTTTTCATTTGGAAAATTTTAAAACAAGACCATAAAAAAGAATGACAAAGCAAGGAGAGGGAAGTAGAATAAAAACAAAACAAGGAGCAGAAGCAAGATGCAACAAGCTTAATCAAGGCCTCTATCTGAAAACCCAGTGCTTTTCAAACATTTTTGTGTGATTCATGATCAAATTTGTATCTAAAAAGTGAGAATAATGTTTTCAAAAGCAACTACTCCTCTAATTCCTCAGGTACAATTTTCAGTGCCAATAATTTTTTTCATTTAGATATCAAATGAAAATGCTGAAAAGAGTTGGCTTGGAGCCAAGTGAGTGGTGGTTTTGGTTTTGGGTTTGGGGTTTTTTTCCCCTTCTCACTGATACAAAAATGAAAACGAACTTTTAACATTAGAGAAGAATTCCAGACAATCAAAGAACAAACATCCAGTTTCATTCACAGATAATCGTAAAAAAAGCAGTAGAAAACAAAGTCTAGCTTCACAAAGTTGTCACTGAGACTTCCTTTTTAAAATATTCAGTGTGGTTTAGATACTTCCTGAGGATCTGAGAGTCCCAGACACAAATACCATCTCTACCTCTTAGGCAAGGTTTTGGTAGCAGGAGGTTGACTACAAGGGTGGCTTCTGTGAGAAGCTTCTAGAAGCTTCCCCCATGTTTGACATAGTCAGTGCCAGCAGGCTCCAAGACGGACCCACTGCTGGCCAAGGCTGAGCCCTTCAGTGACAGTGGCAGCACCTCTGGGATAACAAATTTAAGAAGGAAAAAAAAGTTAATGCACAGAAGCAACTGCAGCCAGAGAAGAGAGGAGTGAGAATATGTGACAGAAACAGCCCTGCAGACCCCAAGATCAGTGCAGAAGGAGGGAGAGGAGGTGCTCTAGACACCAGAGCAGAGATTCCCCTGCAGCCCATGGTGCAGAGAATGGTGAGGCAGCTGTGCCCCTGGAGCCCATGGAAGCCCATGGGGGAGCAGAGATCCACTTGAAGCCCATGGAGGAACCCCTGCTGGAGCAGGTGGATGCCTGAAGGAGGCTGTGATGGCTTTGGTGGGCACATGGTGTCCAGCCAAGGTCAAACCACTACACACACCTTAAGACAGATGTGAATTATCAGTCTGAGATATAGCTGGGAATAAGGAGCTCCTTTATTTTAAATTACCCATCCATCGTAGTTAATCTTTTCATTGTAATCTAAAATTCACTGGAATTTTTCCAAATTCTCTCCCTTAGAAAGTCGGTAACACTTTTTTTCCCACAAATGTGCTGGAGAGTTGTCTAGGAAGAATTCTGGGAATGGAGACTGTTAAGATAAGTGCTAAGTATTATTGATTTGAGAATGTGCTGCAATTATTCTAGTAATATGGCAAAGACCAATCATTAAGTTGGACTGTCATGCTTGACATACTTCATGTCTCCCCTGGGAGCATCATTGGTGACCACATGGAGGGGCAGCAGGGAGTAAAAGTCCGAGGCCCAGACAAGGCTCAGCATGCTCTCCACATCGTCTCAGGTCTGTCCCACAGTATACCTTGCCAGACAGGATGTTGGGGTAACAAATGGGAGCTTCCCTCTCTCACAGCAGGGAGTCTCTGACTTCTATCACTCTTCACTTTCTCCTGCATGGATTAGGCTCTGCAAGCTCCGACGCTTTGCTGGAGAGAGCTTTCAGCCTCTCATCTGGTACCAAAGCACTGAAGCTAATAAGGAGCTACAAGGGCCATTCTTGTCTCTGATACATCCTCCAGTCATCCATAACCTTTCAAACTTATCTTTTCTTCTGGTTTTATACAGTACCTATAAGGATCCACATTTGTTTTGTAAGTGGCATGATAATACAAAACAAACTCATGATCATTTGGTGTTACCTTGCTGTAATAAAGGTTTAAGAGTGAGAGTAAGTGGTAAGTTATTTCAGGTCTCACACTGCCTCTGTGGTTCTTTGATACTATGATAACTCTTATACAGAGAGGCTTATTTATGTTAAACTTTCATTAAATCAGGCTAGATACCAAATCACAAACTCTTGCCTTCTGAAATGCTCAGTTTAATGGATGAATTCAGCCTAAAGCATTATAAGGCCTGTCTTCAATTACATTACAATCCTCTGCTGGAACTGAGAATTCCTTTGCAACAGAAAAGACTATGAAAATATCGAGCTTCACGGTTGCACTTTTGTCAGCAAGAACATTTTGTAATCTTTGGATTGTGGCATCTTCATTGCTGACTGAAATATGGATCAGATTTGGCTACTTAAAACATCAGATTGAAAAACAACATGAGTATATGAATAAAACAAAAAAGAAGAAATAGCTCCATATTCAAGCAGAATTTTATTCAAAATCCTGGAAGTACAGATCTACATTTCCAAAGGTAGATAGTCATTCTGATGTTTGATTTGACACATCAAAGTAGACTCAAGTCTTCATAGCAGTAAAGTTCAGCAATCTGTAAAAAAACCAGGATCTGCTCTCAGGGTGGAGAAGACATTACATAGTGAGGCCCACAAACCAGTAGTCACTTTTAGGGAAAGACAGCAAAAGGGAGAAACCAAAATGCATTCACTTCAGTAAATTCAGCAATGTGGATATATGTTTTGTTCTTTTTCTCTCTTCTATTTATTTCTCCTACATCTTTTCCCTTCATTTCTTATGGTTTCTATCTCTGTTTTCCTGAACTGTGTTCTCTTCAGTTCCCTTCGGGAATTCCTGACCTCCTGTTCTATGTCTCCCCTTTCATTCCCCTTGTCAGTGCTGCTTCTTTTTCCTTTTGCTAGTTCATCTCCTTCTGGCACTAAACACAGTGGGGTCATGTCTAGAAACACCTGTTCCTTTTTGTCCATTTCGATAACCACTACCTACTGCATCTCCCAACTAGTATATTACTCCCTCATTTCTTCCCCAGACCTTTACACGGCAGAGAGGGTGTGAATGGAGATGGTTTGGTGAATACAGGAGCTTAAGCTAGATTGCTCCTAATTTTTCTCCTGTCATGTATCTTTTCTGTCACCTCTTCTCTCATGATACCTTGCTGTTCAGAGCACATACTACAGCTAGTGAAGAGAGAACCACTTGTCTCTAGCAGCAGTCCCTGAAAGGGTGCATCTAAATTCCCAAAGGAAAACCAACAGATCCCATAAATTTCAGCACCTACATCAATTTGAATAAACTGCTTTGTTCTAAAGCTGTTCTTTCTTCATGGATTTTAATAGGAAATGGAGGAGATCATGATCTTTGAAAACTATGCTTGCCTTCCCTAGAAGCCTCAGTTTAACATAAGTTTTAAAATTATGCCAACATCTCAAAACTCTGAGTTATTTTTTAGTTGTATTTTAGGCCTTCTCTATAACCAAAATGTTCCTACAAGTAGTAACTCTAAAGTAAAGGAGGCTGTCAGAAGGCTGTACTGGTTAAACAGTTCTTATACCGGTAATAACTTAATTCGCGCTACTGTTGTAACTAAGATGCCACTAACTCCAGATCTCACAAGATCAGGATCAGAAGTGCTAGTCATGGAGCTACCTGTATTTTTACACCACCAACCCCTAAGAACGTGGGAAGGAGCTTCATTTAATGGCAAAATATGCTGAGTTCATATATTCTGCAAGGTCATGGCACTAAAAATATTCCTCTTACAAAGCTAACAAACTCTGTTTCATTAGGGTTGGAAGCTTTCCCCTTCTACTACTAAGTTAATACATTTCACTGAAGCAGAGAAGGTAGGCACATTTAGAAGATTATGCTAAAATCTACCAGCTTATAAGGAACAGGTTTGCTCCACAAAAGCCACACTCCACAGACTGTAAAGAAATACATTCCCCAGGGCACTAGCTGACCATTGCGGGCAAATACTAAAATACCTGAAAGGTTACCTAGGTCAAGCTCTTTTCAGGAGACGTGGAGGAGGGCTTTTCCAAACAATTGAATTTGTTAAGGTTGGGTGTTAAGAACAGCAAGTAAGATTCATTATGAACATGAAACCAACACTCACCACCTATCAGTAGGAAGCAAGTGATTATTCCACACCTTTACAAAAGGTTTCAGAATATGAAATAAGGTGACTCAACATAGCAGTCCTAAACAGATTTCTTATGCAAAGATTTCAAGTCTGTTAGCTACTTATTAAAGGAAGAGGTGGGTTAGTTATGCAGAAAGATGCCCTGAAAGTTAAAAATGAGTTGTTATAATGAACGTTTCTTGTTATTGACTCTTACTTTTTATTCTTGCATGTCTTGAGTAGAATTGAGGGTGCAACAGTAAACTGCTTCTGTTCTGTGACACTGCTTTCAGGCTTCTAATGGAGAAATTGTTTTTCACGTCCCAAACTCCTTCTAGAGCCACTGTTAATAATTTGGCAAAACAATAGCATTACAACTGATTACTTCAACTTGTTCTAGAATTAATGAAATAATACACCACAATATTCTTCCATAGTTAATGAAAATAGATTGACATCTTCAGAGAGCAATTCAGACTGCTAAAGGCATACAACGCTCTCTACTGTCTGTAGAACAGATTAAGACTACTAAGGCTCCTAACTGAAGAACGATATAGCTTGGTTATAACATATAAGAAACAGCAGTAATATCACTGATGCATCCAGCATAATTTTTTGGTCATACTGGAATATCAAATGCCCTCATAAAAAGATAGAAGAAAATACCCCTCCCCCTCCAAAAAAAAACCCCAACAAAACCCAAACAAACCAAAACAAAGCCAACACCATCAGAATTAAATAAAAAGCTAATTTATTTTGTGGAAAGGTTACAACTTATTAGCCATCTAATTTATGTAAAACAATACATTTTCATAATCTAAACTGTGTAAATCGGTAACTATCCAACCTGACAACTATTGTTTATCAGAGCCCAGGCCACTTAGGAAGCATGTCTAATTCTCCAGATGAAACAGATGAAAAAGGAACTCAGTACTCACTGAATAATCTGTACACCACCATCCATCTGTCTGTATTTATTATTCATAGCATTGTTATACTATGCCTATAACATTATGCTATATCATTTCTATACTGAACATATAATACCATTTCTATACTGAGCGTGTTATAGATCTATATTATTCATTCCTGTAATGAATATTTTTGTAATGTTTCTATGTTATCTTTAGCACTTTAAGCCTTTGTAACATACATTTCACTGGGAGACTCCTCAGAATTCATGAGAACATATAAGGTAGCATCCAATTATACAACCAGACTGAAATATTGCAGACAATTTTAATTCACTGGCAGATGGATACAGCAAAATAGTTGTATTCAGCTCCTGGTAACATTAGGAACATGAGCAGATTGAGCAGACCAATGTTAACATCTGCAATTCAGCTACATGTTCAGGTAGCTGAACAGGTTTCAAAGTGTCTTTTTCTCTTCATTTACTATAAAGAGAACCTACATAAGTCAGTCATTTGCAGGTGTGTGCTGTGATTGCCTAACAAGCCTAATCACAAAAATACAGGTGCAGGCTCATATGGTCTTTACATCAAATACCTAATTTAAGTACATTTTTGCCTGTGAATCAAACAGTTTTAAATTCATTTTGACTGAGTTTAGAATTGGGTCTCTCAATCCTACACAAGAGAAACTATTCCAATAATTACAGCACTTCTTTCAAAAGAAAAAGGTAATAAAACCTCTTCCTACTGCTTGGCATTTGTTTCAGCTTTATTAAACTAATAGATCACGTGGAATTATCCGTGTTCTCTGTGGTCCCATAATTTCTGACAAAAAAGAAAAAAGTAATAAAGACTATATTCAACTCTTCTGTTTCTAAATGTTCCCAAGGATATCACATAAATGTTCTAGGTTGCTTTTTTTAAAAAATAATAATTTTGCCACAGTTCCTCAAAACAACCATTTGTCCTGACAAACACTTGCCCTTTGCTGATAAGGAGGATTACCTGCAGCTGGATGTTTAACATCACATTCTTCTTTCTGAAAATGAAGGTGCTCCTCAAGTATTTCTTTTACTCTCCTAGGTGGCTCAACATATACACATTTCTTCCCTGTTAGTAAAACATATTACAAAAGAAACATTTATTACGAATCCCCTGAAAGCTGACATGCTTTGCTGAACGCAATGTCAAATTATGCTGCTCTGCTTCAGTCTTTAATACACTGTCATTTTAACACATCGTAACTTTAATATACTGTAAGACAAATCATTTACAAATATATGATAGTGTTCAGCCAGGCTCTGCTCCCCAGCACCTAGTGAATCCTCAGGATAGGAGGATGGTACAGGACAGGACCCTGGTGGGTACATCCATATGGGGTGTGCTTATAGCCAAGGCCACCCAGGGCACTCGGGGAGACACGGCCACTGTGCCTCCCACCGACAGACATTCCAAGGCAGGACCGTGCATGAACGAGCACCCAAGGAGAAGTCCTCGCTGAAGGAGGTCTCCAAGGAGCTGAAAAGGGATGCGGGCACCTCATGGCGGCAGGGGAGCCTCTGCCTGACAGGGCGCTGCCCGCGCCAGGGCCGCAGTGCCGGGGGCGGCGAGTGGCCGCCGAGGTGCCCGCGGGGCATCAGTGAGGAGCCACGGGTGGCCGGCTTGGCTCCCCGAGGGGACACGGCGGGGCAGGCCCAGGGTGGGGCAGGGGCGGCCGGGGACCGGGACCGCCGTGCTCACGGGGTTGCTCGCCGCGGGCATCGCTGCCCGGCTCCTCGGCCGCCGCCGCCGGCAGCTCCCGGCCCGCCGCCCTCATGGCCGCCGTGCCCGGGCGTTGGAGTCGGGCTGTTGCCACGGGAGGTTGCCGGGCCGCTCGCGCAGGCGGGGCCGTCACGTCGGGTGCGAGTTCCCGAGGGATGGAGCCCAGCGCCTCGGGCAGCCCAGTGCCCGGGGCTGGCGGATCGGGTCCCACATTTCCGGTCACAGCGGGGTGTTCTACCCCTTCCACAGGCCAGGGATAAGCGCGGGGGTGCCCCTCGAGGCCCGGCGCGGCCAGCTGCCATCCCCAGAGGACAGCAGGCCGTGGCCATCTCATGCCTGCTTGGGGCACGGGTGGGTGACAGCTCTCAGAGCCATTACCAGCTACTCCTTTTTGTCACTCAGTGTGACCCCACTCAGGAGCAGGGCACACGCATCACCGTGTACCCCCATGGGGTGTCACCACTGGCCTCCCTCATGGAAGGATGCCTTGTCACCCTCACCCAAGGCAATGGCAGACTGACAGGAGTAACGAGAGAAGAGTCCTGTTTAACTGATGTAGATCTACTGATACTCAAAAGTACTAGCTTGGTTGTAAAATGAGGCATTTTGAGACGCTGTTTATAGGTCTGAAGTATACTTGACTCTCCATGTTTTGCCACAGTTACAGTTTTGAGTAAGAGGAACAGCTGCCATTTACAGTAGTCAATGGATGATGCTGCCAGCAGGCACGCAGGGAAGCTGTCCTGCTCACCTGGCTGAAAGCTTTCCTCCACAGTAGCTTCCTTGAAACCGATTCTTTGCATATGGTAGTGAGAATTTATAAGATACAAACCAAGTCTGGTTACACAAATGCATGATGTAATCCATGTCTGTATTAGTCCTTGACACATTTCAAAGCATATTCATTTTCCACTGATGTCCAGAAACCATATTTTCAAAAATAATAAGCATTAAAATCATCTTATACCATTCATAGTTCAGAGGCTGTTCTTCCTTTTCTAACAGAAGTGCTGCACATTATACACTCCTTCTAAAAGGTGGGTGATGGAAACGCCCTCCATAGTCACTTGATGAGAGCACCAAACGTGGGCCAACATATCCCAACCCTGCTGCTGCTGTGACAATTGTGCTTCAGCTGTGTTAGTTGTGTCTGGAAGGAGCATGGGATCACTCAGTTAGAAACCTGCGTGGGACAATAAAGTGTTTTGTTACAGCTCATACTGAGAAGAATCTGACAGAACTTTAGGTCTTACATTCAAGTTTCAGTTCAATTTGTTTAAGAGAGAGAAGCAAGTTTCTCCACTTCTAAATTACAGATGGCAAAGTTGAAGCTGAAAATCATGCAGCATGCCAGTACCATGGGAAAATCTTTAATGTATGTCTCAGTTTAAAGAGACAGAAGTGTTTGCTAAGGAGGGCAGGATATGAGAAAAACCAAGCTCCTCCTTCTGAGTAATTATAACTTTGAAATTAAGAGGCTCCAGTCGAAAAGGTGTGGAAAAGAAAATAACAGCTATTTACTAAAGAATATATATATATGTAACACAAACAAACAAGCAATAATCCCTCAACCAAGCTCCCACCGAAAACAATTCAGTACTTTTTGCCTCTCGGCGCAGTTATAACCATCCCCAGCAGGGGGCGCTGGCGCCTCGGGAAGGTGCTGCAGTGCCTCACTGGTGGCCGGCAGGGGGCGCTGCTGGGCTCCGGCGCGCGGGGGCGGCCGGGTCGGTCCAAGGCACGGGAAGGGAGAAGGGGAAAGGGTGGCTCCTCCTGTGGACTCTACGCTGCCAAACGCTGGCTCTGGCTGGGGATCCCCTTCCTCGTCAATGGGTGCCGGCTGCTGCCAACACGGGGAAAGAGGAGGGGAGGGCGGCCCTTCCCCCAAAGACTACTCCGCAGATGGCACTGGCTTTCCGATGAATTCCAGGCAAGTTCAGGCACTGGGCAGAGCAGAGTGTGAGGACTCAGATGCGAACTGGGACCTCCCTCGGGGCCAGAAGCCAAAAAATGACCCGGCCGAAAGAAAAATAAACCCCGGACCCCTTCTCTTCACACACCCTCTCCGAGTCCGAGCAAAAGCCGAGTCCCGCCCCCCAGGGAAAAAAAAACCTCTAAAAAAAAAAGCTGCCTCTAAGCCCAGCTGAGGCTACAGGAGGATGGGGGTTCTCCTTTACCAATTTAGCTGGTGTGCCGAGGTTATTTAGGATTTCAATGAAGCAGTCGTTAAGTCCAGGGCTCGAAGAGTCCTGGCAAGGAGCTGTTGGTGTGGGAAAATTTACTAGGAAAAAGTAACAAAATATAAAACTGTAACAATGTACTAACTCAAAAGTGGAAGAGAAACACTAAATTACCTGTAACTAAATCAGATGTAACTAATCAGACACAACAGTATGCTAGCTGTTTATCCTCACACAGTTGAGGCTCGTTTGTTCCAACCAATGCCACGTCCATGACCTTAAATCTTTAAGCAACTTAATTTTGCAAGGGAAAAGTAAACAGGATCTTGATAGAAAGTCATTTCCTTGAAAAGTAACAGGAAAAAATAAACCAAAACTCCTTTCTCATCCTGTAGATAATACTTAGTATTTATGAACAGGTGCTTGCATTGATAAATGAGCTTTCAGTTAAACATATGACAAAGTATTTGAGGTTAAATATTTTATTATATAATAAGTTTTGTACCAAGATCATTAAATATTTTGTGTATCACCCAAATAAGTTACATTCATTCTGAGCTTTCATGCAGTTTTAAAAAAGTTGAAATTTCTCAAAAAATTCTTTTTAAAGTGAGTTGTAATAAACTCTGCCTAACCAAGCCAGAATTCTTTCATATCAAGTAAATATTCCAGTTTTCTTTACTGCTACGACACTACAGACCAATTAGAAAGGCCTCTCCAAATTTGCGCTAATTAAATGGAAACACGTAGAAACTACTGAGACTTTGTGAATACCTTCAGTAACAGTAGTAACACTTCAAAATATGAGTGAGACAACTGAGCTGAATTGCAAGAAGTGACATCTTGCCTGGGAGAACACTAAAGTATCTTACATTACATTACATTTACCTTGTTGCAAAGAGACAGACCACCACTGATGAGCATGCAGAACACAAACAAGAAAGTGGCAGCAAACCCCACATTCATAAGCTTAACCACAGCTTTTAAGGGGACACGGCATTTATGCAGTCTTCTACTATTTCAAAAAGGTAGTGATACATATCAGTCCTCCTAGCAATGTCAAGGGCAGTTTCATCCAAGCTGTTTTTCAGGTCTGGTTTCACGTAGCGATTCATCAGCAAGAGTTCAAGGGTTTCTCTACTGTTTTTGTTTCCTGCAGCAATATGCAGTGGGGTCAGCAAACCATTTGTCTGTGCGTTGATGTCTGCGCCCTGCTGCAGCAGGAACGCGGCCACTCTTGTGTTGTTCCACTTGCAGGCGCTGTGAAGGGGTGTCCAGCCGTCCACAGTCTGCGCATGAATGTCAGCCCCCTGTGCCACCAACTCGTGTGCAATGTCCAAGTGCCCCCTGTAGGCAGCTCGGTGGAGAGGAGTGTACTGGTCTTCATCACGAGCATTTACTGGAGCCAGCTTTTCAGTCAGGAGCCTCTTCACCGTACTCAGCTGTTTAAAGAAAACAGGTAATTTCATGTGATTCCATTAAACAGGATGTATGGCTTTTCCTGTCTGGAAGTTTAGTGGAAAAGCAATTTCTGTCAGTGTCAAAAAACGCTTAAGCGCAACAACAGATTTTAAAATGAAACCAGCTATTTTTACTAGGGTTGGGGGATTTTGTGGGGTTTTTGTTTGTTTGTTTTCCGTAGGTTGTTCTGTTTTCAAAGAGCTAAAACATGAATATTAGTTGCAATACCTTAAGAGTACCTTAACCTTACACCTTCTCCCCATTCACTGGGAAGACATAAGTACCTCCACAGAACTGTAGAGGGAGCTTTTGTGTGTGAGAAAGACAACTTATGAAAATAAGTGTACACAAGGGTATAATAACATAACAGGAATCTTGGTTGTCTCTCCCTCACTTTCAAAAATAAAGTTGGGTTTCTTTTCCATAAAAATATACAAAAACAGTCACCTGTTATCTGCATATGTAGCTTCAGAAACAATAAAATTTCAGATACATCCTCTCCACCCCAGTTAAAAGGCTTATTTGCCAGGAAGAAAGAGCCTGGCATGCTTTCCGTTTATACAAGCTAAAGAAAAGTGCTGTTACTTGAACTTTCAACTGAAATCAAAGCTTGCTTTCTGAAAGCTAATGGATTCAGAGACTTTTCAGTGTGCATGGGCTACAAAGGGAGATGTTTTACATGCAGTGGCTTGCAAAACCAGATCAAAATGGCTCACAGAAAGACAGGAAAGTGTAGGTAAATTTTTGTTTGTGGATGAGTTGTTAGATATGTGCTTAAAATAACATTCTTCTGAGTGCTACATATGAACAGAACGAGTGCCTTACCCGATTGTTTTCAGCTGCCCAGAGTAGCAATGTCTCTGGATTTTTTTCCATTTTCTTTTCTTGCATTTCATACCATTCCTCACTTCTTTCTTGCTCATCATCGTCATCGTCTGACTGTCCTGACCAACAGCTCTGAGTTCCCACAGGAATCAAATGCCTGTGAGTCTCCAGCAGTTCAAGCTGGTTAAAATGCTCTGTGAAGTCTTCAAACAACTCACTATCATCGTCGTCCTCATCGACTTGCTCTTCTTTATTCATTTTCAGTCAGCATCTGTGAGCAGCAGATGTACAATCTTGTTGTACAATACAAATGGATGATGTGGACATCGACAAATACGAAAATTAAAGAGCAAACTCAAAGTTCCTCCACTAACCCGACCCTTGTCAGCTCTGCCAGAACTCCCAGACAATATCCACGCTGGAAAAGCACCATGTTACCCCGGTCCCGAAACGGCACCACTTTCGGACGGGCAGCGAGAAGCAGCGCGAGGGTTTGCAGAGCGCACCCGGAACGCTGCCGATTTCTTAACAAAGAGGCCGGAGCACTTCGGATAGTAGGGCAGAGTTTCTGCGAGGCCCCGCGGCGCCCGTCCGGCACCGGGCGAGGCCCCGGCCCGGTCCGCAGCACTGGCCCTCCTCCGCTCCGCTCCGCACCCCCCCAGAAGGGCCCTCGCGCCACAGAAGGACGCTCCCCCGCTCCCCGCCGGCTGGGCCGGGCCGGCACCACCCGTGCCTCCCCTCTGCCCCGGCCGTGCCCGCGGGCTGCCAGCAGCCAGACCCCGCTCTAATCCCGTCCCA